CGCCCTCGCTCCTCCCCCCACGCGTATCTGTGGCCCTTGCTAGTGTGATTAAAAGACTCCCACTAGCGTGCCCCGGGCTCCTCCATCCCAGCCACAGGGCCCTAGGACAGCCGCCCCCCCACCCCCACCCCACCGCGTGGCCGCGCCACTGTGTCCCCGAAGCGCCCATGTATAACTGGTATCGCCCTTGTGTCCCCGCCTCGGCGTCCCGCGGGCGCCTGCGTCCACAGCAATACTTCATCCTGCTGATCCTGACGGACGGCGTCATCACAGACATGGCAGACACCCGGGAGGCCATCGTGCACGCCTCCCACCTCCCCATGTCGGTCATCATCGTGGGCGTGGGCAACGCGGACTTCAGCGACATGCAGATGCTGGATGGAGACGACGGCATCCTGCGCTCGCCCAAGGGAGAGCCCGTCCTTCGCGACATAGTGCAGTTCGTGCCCTTCAGGAACTTCAAACACGTACGCACGCCCCGGGCTTCCGTGGGAGGGCGCCCCGAGCTCACCCCCACCCCTCGCGACCCTCACCGCTCACCACGGGCCTGCAGGTGCGTGGCTCACGCGGGGAAGCAGAGTTCCAGGCTTCGAGAAAGAAGTGCCACTGCAGTTAGTAAAAGGCGGCGGCTGCCGGCACTGCGTGGCCCTTGGCCCGCGCCAAGGGGCAGGAGCCCAGAGCTACCTGCAGTCGGCAGCCCGCCCTCCCCAAGGGCGCCGCGGGTGTGGTAAGGAGTAGCCCGAATCCAGCCCGGGTTCTCCTTGCCAAGCCGTGCGCCCTGGCTCTTGAGCCGCAGAGGCCTGGGTTTGATTTGGCAAAGTGTATCTTCAAATTGGTAGAGAGCTCCATGCTGATGAATCTCTAGGAAGCAGCACCAAAGATGTGTCTGACCCAATCATGGAAGGCCCAGAACCTTGGCCAGCTCGTTCAAAGGCAGTAGGAAAGTTGATGCAGGTCAGTGGGGAAACACTGGAGTGAGTTTCCTGAGGCGGATTCAAAACCAACTCATGGCCAAAAGCAAGGAAGAAGCAAACAAAAGCCCAGACTTAGTCTTTGGAGGCTGCGGGTCAGAAACCTGGCCAGCTTGCAGCTCTGCAGGTTTGTGTCTTGGGCTCCGGTCAATAATAAGGAGCAGAGTCATGCTGCACTCCCTCAGTGGCCCTGCATCCACCCCCCCAGATGGCTAGTATGATGTCAAAAAATAAGTAAATAATAATACTCAGGCGCAGAAATTGCTGGTAATTTCCAATTTGGGGGTGATTGTTAATGCCACCAAAGGGGCACCTTTAAGATTTCCTCAGAGCCCTGCAGCTGCAGGGCTTGCACCCCGCAGATTTCCACAAAGTCCTTGCCCCAAGGGTGAGGCTCACCTTCTCCTACAAAGAAACCTCCCACCACTGTGTGGGAGTTCCTGGGGGAAGGAATCACTTGAGGAAGGGGCCACCGAGGCCCCCCAGGTCTGCTTCTGGACAGTAAGGAGTGGGGTGAAGAGAAATAGAAGCAGCCATCTGTGCAAGGCCATGTGTGCGGGGCCGTTTTGTGTTCACGGATAACCACCGCCTCATGGGACGCCCACAGTGCAGAGGAGATGTCCTTGCAGATTGGGGGGTTCGCCCGGTTTTTCAGCCAGACAAGAGGAGCCACATCAGTGGCCACCACCCAGACCTTACTCTAGTGAAGGTCAAAGAGCTCACTCCCTGGGAAATGGCCCCCACTCAAATACACACGCACATGCACGCACGCACACACACACGCACACACACATGCGCGCACACACACACCTGTGAGCTAATGAAGGCCACTGAGCCCTGCAAGCTTCAGCCTGCACCCAGGCCTCCTCCTCTTCTCACACCCTGGTATAGTGCCTGCTGTGCAGGGCCTGCACTCGGCAGGGGACCACAGCAAGAGAGCAAGCCTGGAATCCGGCCCCAAGGAATTTTCTAGAAAATTGCATGATTGGGAGATAGGTGCCAGCAGAAAAGCCCCATGCTAAGAATATCAGGCCCATACACCAGAGCAGAGAGAGCAGCCCTAGCGGAGCTGGGCACGGGAGGGAGGCTGGGCAGAGCTGTTAGCAGGGAGCCGAGGGGCACCAGAAATGAGGGCAGAGACCCTTCAGGGCAGAGCAGTGGACCGCAGCTCCAGTCTCTATCCTGGTCTCTAGCTAGTTGGGGTGGGAGGTGGGAGACTAACGCAGAACATTAGGAGCAATTCATCCTCCTCAACTTTGTGGATGTCAAATGAGATTTAAAGACAATTTCATTATCCAAACTAATCTACTCTCAATTCAATGAACCATAAATAAAATGGAAGGTAGGAGCTGCTATCTTTCCTGTAGGCTATGATGCCTCTTTTTCCTGTTCCACATGATAACTCAAAGTGTTGAAGTACAGGCACAGGTGTAAGCTGTGCGGCTCTGGGCAAGTTACCTAACCTCTCTGCGCCACAGAGTGTCAGCTATGAAATGAGCCCAACAATAGGCAAATTGGAAGATTAGAGGTGGTGCTGGTATTAAGCTTTCTATAGTGGCTGCGGGTGTGGCCAGCAGCTTTCACGCTTGTCTTTTTCCCAGCCTACTGCCCCTCCCCCAACATACACACACCCTACTCCCCCTCCAGACCACCAGCACGAATATGCAGAGTGGGAGAACCACGTAGGAACCCTGTTGTCTAGGACAGCAGCCAATAGCTACATTGGCGATTTAAATTTCAGTGTTTTTAAATTAAATGAAATTTTAAAATCTAGCACTTCAGTCACACTCGCCCTAGTCAAGGGCTCACTGTTCGTGTGGGGATGGTCACACAGAGTAAGTGTCTGGGATGACTGCAAATCAGAAACCAAACTACAGAGCAGTCCTTTCTTCCCAGCAACATTCACCCATCTTCAACTGTGAGTAGTTTCATTTTTTAAGACAAGCATGAAATAGTACAATTACAAAAGTAAAGCTCATTTTCCAGCAATCTGACATTCTTGCTTGAAATTGCCCCTCAAGAGTGGGTGGGTGGGTGGATGGATGGATGGATGAGTGGATGGATGAATGGATGAGTGGATGGATGGATGGATGGATGGATGGATGGATGGATGG